GTGGGGCTGGCGCAGGATCGGGCAGTGTTTCGTTCTGCTGTGCATGGGGTTGCTATGAGTCGGAAACGACTCGATGGCACTTAACAACAACAACAACATACGTGTGACAGCTGAGTTTGTATAGAGTTATATGTAACCCCCTTAATGAGTGGAGACGTTCAGTTCGTATGTAGTGAACAACTATTACCACCTGATGCATAGCTAAAGAATCTTCATTTTAAACATTGATATGACTTAGGGATGGTACTGCATTTGTTGCTTTACTTAGAAGCCTCAGGTGAGATTACAGATCACCTGATAGCCAAGTTTGCCAACATGCACTTTCTTTGCCGAACCCTGAGATACGAAATTTCTCATGATGTAATTACTCAGGTGTATGTACACATTTTGTGTCTGATTATCCACATACCTGCTTACTCCTACACAGCTGCCTTTTAATAAGCCATATATACTCATTCCTTCTTATAAAAAATGCTTCCTGAGATTTTCTGATTTCCAAGTGGAGAACTTAACCTCTGACCATAGGCTTCTCAGACTGCTGGAAACAGTAAAAGCTTAGCCACTTCAACATGATAATGGTGGCATGAACTGTAATAACCCTTAAAATACACCTTTGTTTGATAGGAGTTTTTGCTGTAGTTGTAGTCATTCTGCATAAAATTTATGTTGCTATTTAATTTCAAAACAGAATGCCTATGACACTTGCATAATTTACCATTCCTAGGGTCTCTTCTGTTTGTTGAATCTTGATGCTTTCTTTTTAAGCTTAAAACATGCTTCATTTATAAAGAAGACTATGAAATATGAAAGGAAGGACACACCAATATAATTGGTTAATAATTCCCCAGAAAGAGGAAACATATACATAAATGTGTATGTGTGTGTGTGTGTGTGTGTGGCTAGAAGCTGCTACTTGTATTTAATTGATTACCTTAATTTTCTTTTCTTTTATTCTTCTCAGAATCGACCATTTAGAAACTATCCAGCAACTCTTAACAGCAATAGTGAAGAAGATCCCATTAATCACTGCAAAAAGTAAGACAGTTATAGTGAATATATAGGTGAATTTCTTTTTAAACTGTGAACTACTTGGATATTGATTCAACTTAAATCATTTGGGTATTACATTATAAATTAATACTAACACAGCAGTTGGTTATCTTTTGACATTTTAGCTAGAGATCTAAATAGTTCATTTTTGAGGGTTTTAGAATTCACAGGATCTTCATCAACGAGTTCGTCTTTTATTGTTTTCACTGAGTTTGATTTAAAAAGAAGGAATTTTTACATTTGGTTTATATATAAATCATAAACCTGTTTCGTATATAATTAAACTGAAGTAATTTTAATGTTTATTCATAAGGAAAAAAAAATTATCATTTGCCTATAACATACCAGACCCTATTCAGGCCCATTACATTTAGTCTCTTATTTAATCACAATTTCTGTGGATGGTGGTATCATCTCCATTTTACAGGTGAGAAACCTGAAGATAAAGCAGCATATAGTAACTTGCTCAAGATCACATAGCTGAAGGTGGTAAGGCAGTAGACAAGCCCAGTTCTGGTTTATTCTGGTACCTGTAATCTCTCCTCTCACATTCATTGTCATTCACTTTGTAGAAATACAAGATTTTCAAGACCTCCAAAGATGAAATCTGCTGTATTGCTGCCCGTTGTTAGCAAGAGTATATAATTTGCTTCGTAGCCCCAGTTGTCCTGGCAGAATTAGCAGCCCTTATAGGAGGGTGGGAGTTGGGCAGACATCCTGTGGAAACTCAGTTGTAATCCCACTGATAAGATCACCATGAACATTTACACTGAAGAGATGAAGCAGATTATCATATACTTAGATTTATGGGAATATGAAAATGACATGACAAGTACAGACCACTGTGTAATAGCAAAGAAATCATCTTACTTTCCTCAGTTGAAGTTCAAAGGATTTTTTTTTTCTCTTCTTTTGATGAAAATACACTTGACCCTTGAACAGCACAGATTTGAACAGGTAAGATTTTTTTCAATAAAAATACTGGAAAAATTTTTGGAGATTTGTGACAATTTGAAAAAACTCAAAAATGAGCCACATAACTAGAAATTTATGAAAATTAAGAAAAGGGTATGTCATGAATGGCTAAAATATATGTAAATACTAGTCTATTTTATAAATAAAATATATACATGTTGTTGTTGTTATGTGCCATCGAGTCAGCCCTGACTCATAGCGACCCCTCCTTGGGTTTCCAAGGCATTATCACTACAGAAGTAGGATTGCCCAACCTTCCTTCCGAGGAGTGGCTAGTGGGTTTGAACCGCCAGCCTTCTGGTTAGCAGTCAAGTGCCTTAGCCACTACTCTACCAGAGCTCCCATATATCTATTATAAAATGTTTAAATTTATCAAAACTTTTAAACACATAAATACTTACAGAGTTTGATGGCCCATTCATAGTCAAGACAAATGTAAACAAACATGAAGATGCAATATTAAATCATAACTGCATAAAATTAATTGTAGTACATACTATACTACTGTAATTATTTTGTAGCCACTTCCTGTTTCTATTGTATCTGTTTAAAACAGATGCTAATTGTCTCTGAGGGAGTGCTTCATATCTCCAGTAAGTTGTGTGTCACAGTAAAAAATGATCTCTGAGAATTTCTGGTAAGATGGTGCAATAGGCAGAAAGACTTCACAGGCCCTTTTCAACAAAGAAAGGGGTAACTTGTTAACAGAGATACAGAAGATAATCCTGGACCCCCGAGCTTTGACACGAAGGATATAGAAGTGGACTAAACTCCAACTACCAGAAGAATTTGCATGAAAACACCAAAAAGGAGATATATGGAGCTGTGGTCTGGCAGTAGTCCTGATGGCACACACAGCTTGCATATTGCCAAGTGGTGTCACGACCTAAGAATTAACCTAAAAATCAGCCCTGCTGTCCAGGAACTGCATGGAGGACTGCTCTAGTGGCTGGTGATTAAAAGGGAAAGCAGCGAAGAGGAAGGTGGGCTGATCTGTGGACTTTTGCCTGTCTGGAGGGCGCAGCCATTTTCAATGTTTACAAGCGGTTTGACCATTTTGGACATTTAAAGTGACAGCACACTCCCAGATTCCAGGGACTTAAGAACAGGCTCCACTTGCTGAAAACCACAAGAACATTCCAGACGTAGATGACTGGAAAGGTGCAACACTCTCCTTGTTACTCTTATACCCTACAGCCTCTTGGTGAACAGATTTGTGGCCATCCCTCACTCCCACCCACTTTCTAAGCTGGCAGGAATTCCATCCTAGTCTGTGTGCTCGGGCGGAGCCTGGGTGCCCTACCCCGATTTTTTTCTTTATTTATTTTTTAGTTTGGTTGTTTTTGTCTGTTTTAAAACTAGTACTATTAATATTGCTTTTGTCCTTTTTATTATTATTCTTTATTCTTCCTTTCTCACGTTCTAGTTTTCAGTTTTTCTTTTTTTCTTTTTCCCTTTTTTGGTTACTGTTCCTGTGTGATTACACAGTGTGTTTTTTGTACATTTGCTTTTACTTTTTGATAGTTATTCAGTTATTATTTTTGTCTGAGTGGGAGACAGCAACAGTCCCCATAAGAAACAACTATACCCACACCTCCTGCAGCTCCAGCTACTGAGTGAGAGCCACAACTTCTTCTCCACCAGTGGGCCAGCGATAACCACCAAGAAGAGCCTGCCTAACCCTTAACTGCTTTTTACAAACAGTTCACAGAGATCTAAATACAACATCACAATGGCTCAGAGACAACAGACATCACAGTCCACACAAAGAAGCAAGATAAAGTGGTAGAAACAAGGGAGCAGGATACAGACCCAGGACACATCCCTGAGAAACAAGCAGCATTGGAACTCTCTGATAAGGAATTCAAAAGAATGATATTTAGGTATCTTCAAAGGATTGAGAGACAGACCCGGGAAAACACAGACGAAAGCCTAGAAAAATTTTGAAAGAAAATACAAGAACAGAATGACAAAATAAATGAAAAATTAGAATGATTCTAAATCTACAGATAGAAATCCAGAAGATTAATACTAATTTGTCAGAAATAGATAACACATTGAAAGGGCAAAGGAGTGGAATTGATGCAGTAGAAGATAGAATTAATGAGATTGAAGACAAATACCTGAATACTTCTTTGGAAAGGGATCAATCAGAAAAAAGATCAAAACAAAATGAAGAAAGCCTAAGGTTCACATGGGATACAATCAAAAGAAATAACCTGTGTTATTTCTTCCTGGTCAAAACTCTCAGAAAAATAAGAATAGAGGGGACATTCCTCAACATAGTAAAGGGCATCTATGCAAAACCAGCAGCCAACATTTTTCTCAATGGAGAGAGACAAACCATTTCCTTTGTGAACAGGAACCAGACAAGGATGCCCTTATCACCACTTCTATTCAACATTGTACTGGAAGTCCTAGCCAGGACAATAAGGCAAGAAAGGGAAATCAGAGGCATCCATATTGGTGAGGATGAATTCAAACTATCCCTGTTTGCTGATGATATGATCCTATACCTAGAAAACCCAAGGGACTCTGTCCAAAAATCTGCTGGAACTGATTGAGAGATTTACCATCATGGCAGGATAGAAGATGAACATGCAGAAATCAGTTGGATTCTTCTACACCAGCAAAGAGATTGTTGAAAAAGAAATAAGGAAATCAATACCATTTCCAATAGCTGCCAGAAAAATAAAATCCTTGGGATTAAATCTTACCAGGGACACAAAAAACCTATGCAAAGAAAAGTATAAAAACCAACTTCAGGAAACCATAAGAGATTAAATAAATGAAGAACATCCTATGCTCGTGGATAGGAAGATTGAACATTGTGGAAATATCAGTTCTACTCAAAGCAATCTGTGCATTCAATGCAATCCCAATCCAGATCCCATCAACAGTTTTTAAGGATATGGAAAAACCAATCACTAACTTTATATGGAAAGGAAAGAGACCTCAGATATGCAAAGCACTATTGAAGAAGAAGAACAAAGTAGGAGGTCTCATACTGCCAGATCTCAAAACGTACTGTACAGCCACATAGTCATAACTGCCTGGTATTGGTATAGTGATAGCCACATAGACCAGTGGAATAGAATTGAGAACCCAGAAGTAGATCCCTCAATCTGTGTTAAACTGATCCTTGACAGAGGGCCAAAATCCATTAAATGGGGAAGAGAATGTTTGTTTAATAAATGGTGCTGACAAAACCGGATATCCGTTTGTAGAAAAATGAAACAAGATCTGTACCTCACACCATACACAAAAACTACCTCCAGATGGATCAAAGACTTAAATGTGAAACCTGAAACTATAGAGTTCCTCAAGGAAAACCTAGGGGTGAATTTAGGGGTCCTAATATATGGCTAAGGAGCTCTGGTAGCATAGTGCCTAAGGCACTTGACTGCTAACCAGAAGGCTAGCGGTTCAAACCCACCAGCCACTCCTCGGAAGGAAGGTTGGGCATTCCTACTTCCGTAGTGATACTGCCTTGGAAGCCCAAGGAGGGGTCGCTATGAGTCGGGGCCAACTCGATGGCAAATAACAACAACAACAATATATGGCTATGAGTCGGGGCCGACTCGACGGCATATAACAACAACAACAACAACAACAATATATGGCATAAATAGACTATCAAGCATAACCCAGAATGCACAAACAGCAGAAGAAAACTAGATGAATGGGGCCTTCTAAAAACCAAATTTTTATGTGCTTCCAAAGACTTCTCCAAAAGAGTGAAAAGAGAACCTACAGATGGGAAAAAATTATTTGGCAATGACATACCTGACAAGGGACTTATCTCTAGAATTTATAGAAAACTCCAACACCTCACTAAAAAGAAGACAAATAATCCAATTAGAAAATGGGCAGAAGACATGAATAGATACTTCACCAAGGAGGATATTCAAGCGGCCAGCAAATATAAGAAGAATTGCTCACGATCATTAGCCATTAGAGAGATGCAAGTCAAAACAACATTGAGATACCATCTTGTTCCAGCACTAGTA